TTCTTCAATGCGAAATAGATATTATCTAATTCTGATACATAGGAAAATATTTCATAAGTTATGATAGTACAAAAAGTGTTAAATATTTTATTAGAATTTAAAATCACGATTTTCTCACGGAGCACCTATCAATCTCGGACTGAACATAGTTTGGGAAGCGCTGAGTTAGATAAACTTTCAGAATTTATCTTGTGATTTTTAGCCGCGGCATAGTGGCTCATGGAATGGTTTTTCAAGTACAAACTTTTAACTCTTAGCTCCTCATCTCTTTGCCGATTTGAGATTTAATTACAGTTTTGGGTTCAGGTGGTCAAACCCTTTTGATAGATGTATTTGACCACGCCCAAGGTCTCATAGATGAATTTATTCTAATCCTGCCTAAAAAATTTCAATTTGAAGGTAGGCTGGTGGAGGTCCTGAGGAGTAATAAAATCGACTTGTGGATACGCGCACCCCACACTTGGTATTGCTGGCGCACAAAAATATAGCTAATAAAAAGGAAAAAAAGGTCTTATAGATTAATTTACTCTAATCTTGCCAAAAATAATTTCAAGTGCCGCAGTTATTGAGGATTCCCTCTTGTTTCTTTTCTCATAAGTTTAGTCTTGGGATAAATGTCAATCACTAACGTACTCAAAGTGGAAAAACAAAAAAAATATTGCAAGGGGAGCAATGATTTGTGTTAAATAAAATCCAGAAACTTCATAAGTTATGTTGGAATCAAATGTAAAACCGTAAGATGGTATCTTCCTGTCAAATTGTTGGTTTCAGTGTACAAGGTTCACAAATGTTTCCAAAAGAAGAAGAAAAAAGATCCCGTGCATAACGCACCCACCTTTACAGTACAACAACAGTGTGCCTTGGTGTTTTCAACTTCGTAACTGTCAGTATGTAACATGATGAACAGTACTCACAAATTTTGTGTGCTCTATTATCAAGGGGTTGTCGAATTTTGAGTTATTTTAATCTTTCGTTATATAACTTTCGATATGATTTGTGAGATAAATACATGAATAAGCATATGTTAAATATTCCTAAAACATTTTTTTCGAAACGAATAGCCCCCCCCCCAATAGCACAGCGGTATGTCTGCAGACTTACAACGCCAGAAACCGGGTTTCGATACCCGTGGTGGGCAGAGCACAGATAGCCCATTGGGTAGCTTTGTGCATAATTCCAAACAATCGAAACGAGTAAATGTAATGAACATGAAACAACAACAAAAAATATTTACACGAGTTTTTCAGCTGATTTAAAACAATGCCTATATACGTACCGGTTATCTATATGTTAGGACATACATTGTGTTTTAAGCATGTCATTTCAGATTTACAGCCAATTGACATGGCATTGGTGAACTTTAATTACGGAAGAATACATTTGTTGGACTTGTATAGTGTACGTGACATGGTGATTTGGTTCTGAAGCTAGGTGTAATACTTTAATCTTACTATTAAGATGATATACTATATGTGTGTGTTAGTATCCACCACAAAGAGTTGGCTGGCTCTGTTACAGCAAAGTTTTATATGGTAACTGGAAACTGACCAGTGGTATACATGGGCTATTTTGGGTACTTTTTCGTTATACCCCCGCAAATAATTCAGCTTATATTTATAGCTAGGTTATAATATAAATCAGGATAAATACATTGTATTATTAACACTGCGTATACATCAAAGGCTAGTTATTGTCACTTCTAATAAAGTTCTATATAATTAAAAATAAACTTTATTACTTTAGTGTGAAGACAAACTAGTGATAAAAAAACCAATACAATTGGTTCTTAAACGTTAGGCTTAACAGTAACAGTTGCAGGGGTATAACGGAAAATACCCTATTTTGTTTTAGGAGAAGGGGAATAAAAAACATCCTGAAATAGAGCACATTTCTATTTTTTGTATAAACTTTTTGCTTTGCAAATTTAAAGACGCAAGTATTTATTTAGTACTTTCCATAAAGCAGGATATGTAATTAGCATCTAATGAGGCCATTACAGTTCTAACATTGTCCATTATAAACACTTTGCTTCCTTAACGGTACCCTCAGTATAGGATAACATTATTTGTGGTCTATACATTTTATTTAGTAATATTGTTATTAGTCTGTACAGATTAGGATTTTCAACAGTTAAAAGCACGATTCTTTTTGTACATTACAGCATTAACTTAAATTAAGTAATCATATTTTAATAAGAAAATAATGTCACAAAAATGGGTTTTTAAGCACAAGGTGGCATCGTGCTAAAGCTTATTAACAGAATATTATTAAGATGACAATCGGGTAGAGAACGTTCACAGCTGGTAGTGCAGGTTGGTTATGACGTCATGTAGCACAACAATAGAATATCGTACTTATAAAGTGAATCTCATTAAATAACTAGAACACAACAGGCCCGACCTTTTAATCTTCCCAGCTAAACCGATAGTAATGGTACATGCCACCAATTGGAATTTTACTTGCTTTTGTATATATATTTTTAATTGGCTTAGTCTTACATTCCATCATTGCGAAATATTCAAAGTTGTCACCCAAATTCCTTTATCGTCGACTGAAATTCTAAGTCCTTGATTGTTCATTGAACGGGTTTTATTACCCATTGTTTAATTAATATGTTTCATATTACGATGAGCCAACCACAAAATAATGAAACACGAGTGCTGGATTATCTAGCAGGAAATCTCTATCACGGTAACATGTACACATGGATGATATGTTGGAAATCCTTGTACAACCATAATTATACGTCGTAAGTTTCTACAGACTAATGAAGTTCAGAGTAAACAGAAATTCTTGTTGAAAGGGGATCCCGCTCAGGTTCACGCTGTTGACTTATCGCCTGTAGAAACTAGTTTCTCAATACAGTTTCGTATATCGAGTAATCTAGCCTCTTACTGATTTCACTGAAACTTGGCAGAAAATTTTCATACAGGTTCTGAACGCTTTTCCTTTTACTTGACTATGCGCAACTAGGACAAAACATTGGGGATTACACAGATTTTTACAACACAAATAATTATTGAACCTCGGCATAAAGCTTTTAAATTGTATCATAACGACATCGTTTTCTCGGTGGGACAGCGGTAAGTCTTCGGATTTACAACACTAAAATCAGGTGTCGATTCCCCTCGGTGGACACAGCACATAGCCCAATGTGGCTTTGCTATAAGAAAACACACACACACACACTCGAATGGAAATTTTATGTACACACAAAAAGAAGATTTCCCGGCTGTCTTTTTCTTAAGTCTTGTTTAAAAACTATTTAGAATTTGGGCAGAACTCGGAAGGCCCGAGTCCGAGCTTGTGTTATAAAAGTGACAATAAACCTTCCACCATTCTGTTATTTATTTCCACAAAGTAGTTTAATGAGAGATCCAGCTTGATAACAAAATTGTATCGACCTTGCCATCAACAACTAGAAATAGTTTTAAAACGTGTCATGCTTTGCCAGGCGAATATTTCACGGTTTCTATAATGTGTGTAAACATTTATTACAAAAATATCATGAAACTTTTTTTTTACAATTTTTATTCTGCAGTACATTCACAATTTTTTTTTCAGTTTTTTTTTTTGTATCCTACAAATAAAATGTGAGGAAATAGATTATAAACTTTATCAATATTACTATTCCAGAGCAATATTTCAGTCTCGTGGTTAAGCTAATTATTCACAGTTCTCTTTGCCGAATTCATTCTGGGTTTTGAAACAGTACCACCCTCGTAGGCCTAGAAACAAGAATATTTAATGAAAAATATAACAAAAGTTTAGTGACCCAAACTAACAGTGCCATATGGTTCCACGCAACGATTAAAAACAACATGTAGGTGTTCTAACAACAATCATTTACCGGAAAAAAAAAAATGATTGTAGCATAACATCCAAACCTTCCCGCCTCACGTGGTAAGCCGAGCACGTGATCTACTGTTGCTATATGATAGTAGTAGGAAGTGAGTTTCAATAAATTCAAAATTGAGCGAGGAACGTAGTTCAGGGAAGATTTATTTAATAAGAGGGCGACCCATTCATATAGCTTGACAAGAACAACTTATGACGGAAAAGAAACACGGTGTTCGCATGAACTAAATCCGTGTTTCATAACTATTTCGGAATTTAAAGGTTTCTGTTGTTACGATGGTTTGGTTTAATTACACGCGTCTCAACAGATTGGGCCTGAGAGACAAGTTTTACTTCTTACTAGCAGCAGAGTTACTCAACCTGACTTTAGGCGAGCCAGGTAAGTATAATCTAAATTTATATAGTGGATATAGTTATATAGAACGTCTGGACGTGACTAATGTGGGACTAGGAAATATTATTCTAGTCGCTATTCTCGTATGATTGATAAATACAGCGAAAGAAGAGAGAGAGAAAAAAAAGCGATTTACATGTACAGTATTATATGGTTTTAAAACATCCTATACCACATCCAAACTTTCTTGAAGTTGAATATACATTACAATTCTCGGGGCGCCTCGGTGAAATTCGTTTCCTTTGCACTAGTAGTTTATAAGGTATAATAATATTAAGATATATAATATAATAACAATAACTGTATAATAGTTATGGGGTTTTATTATTATAATATTGTATAACAAGTTATTTCGTGAAGTACTATATATGTATATTAAGACGTTATGACACAACTTTATCTTATTAGAATATCAAATATTTTGAGTAGCTTGAAACAGAATAGCGATAGTCATATTTCAAAGTTTAACTGACTTTTTTTTGTGATTTGGCTGAACATATATGTCTTTGCTTCCCGATAGCTTAGTGATGAGTTTGAGGGCTTATAACACTAAAATTGGAAGTTAGATATTCGTGGTGGGTGCAACGCAGACAATTTGTTGTGCCGTTTTGCGTATAAACAAATAATACATGACGTTATAACGTGAGAGCAAAATATCAAAATTTAAACCTAACTTTTCTGAAAACTCTTCCGAGTTTAGCACAAAACTTGTTTAGAAAAGTTTTGGTGAACTGTCAAGTGAAGGAATCTGGTATGCAGATTGAGAAATTTAAATTTTTTATTATCATAAATTATATTAATGTAAATACTTTTATTTCTAACTAAAACATGTAACTGTGTATGCATCCTTTACAGGATGTTGAATTAAATAATTTTGGTCACTGCACTATAGAAATGTTGCCCTCTCTATCTTCCATTAAGCTAGACATATCACGTGATATACAACTTATAAATATCAGCCATTTCTCCGTATTTTAACAAAAGTTTTAAATCTTTATAATAATAAAACATACAAGCACCGCTGAAAGTGTAAATATTTCGTGTTTTTTTTTCTCGAATAATCTAATACAAAATACAAGCTTTAATAAAACCATTATTAGTATGCGTAGATAATTGAAACTTTGTATGCCTATCAATTTGACTATGGGGTTTATGATATTATCAAAATTAATTTGTAATTTCTTTTTATTCATTACCAGTTGCTTGATAATTACAAAAATAGTTATGAACATAACAGTTTTCATGATAAGTGTGCAATATGGCTTCCATTGCCGAACCCAAATATTTTGGCACATTTCGTACGTTGTGTCTAATATGCAAATTTAATTTATTACCGAAGATGTAACATTGTTCGTATTTTTGATATTATAACTGCGTGTAATAAATAAATAGAAAAGTACACTGCACATTAATTGTGATATTATCAGAAATCTCATAGTCAAGTCGGCACGTAAACGATATATCAGTTATTTTATTTTAGTAATAATGGTTTTATTAAAGTTCAAAATATGAAAATTATTTTTGGAACACCCTAAAATAAATGATTAAGAAAATCCTTGTAACAATATTTGGGATGGGAAAGCGTTACAGTCATTGTACAACATAAATTAGTGAATGATATTTAGGAGTATTGTTATCTTGGGCCGGTTTTGATTGTCCTGAACACCGTTTTCTCGAATCTCATTGATATAAGTACTTTTTCTCGGTGGTTCAGGTGCAGATGTGAGTCCTGTTCAAGTACACCGACTGTATATTGGCCTGATGTACATGAAGGGGAAATTCAATATAATTTAACATTGGTTATTATCTGGCTATTCCTTTAATCAATTAATATTAATTGTGACTGAATAGTAATCTATGCCTGGTACAAATATAAGACGCTTGTAAGCTTACGTTTATTTATTTCGAATAAGTCAAACAGTTTGTTTGTTTGTTTGTAATTAAGCATAAAGCTACACAATGCGCTATCTGTGCTCTGCCCACCACGAGTATCGAAACCCGGATTCTAGCGTTGTAAGTCGGCAGACAAACCGCTGTGCCACTGGGGGACAAGTCAAACAGGCTCCTATCATTAGAAATATAATAAAGAAAATAACAATAAAGAAGGTTTTATATTATTTGTTTTCGAGTTTTGTGGATTACTTAAAGTGTTTCCCTGTTTTCATCTTTAAATGTTGCGATGTATTTTTCATTATAAACGATTTTTATATTGAGCAATCATTACTTAAACAGTTGAAAGTCAAATCTAACAGTACAGTATCAGATGGAAGGTTTGGCAAAAGAACCAACCACACGAAGTCAGCGATATTGTAGCATCTGAGATAACAATATTGCTTGCTGAAGTTTAGTACAAACACAAAAGACAAATTTTAAGCTGCATAATATCTGTCATACTTGGATCGAGTCATACAATGATGGTGATAAACCGTCTATCAAAGGCCTCCCAGTTGATGGAAAGTGCTAAGCATGAGTGATCTTCGGCTCACATTTTCTCGAGCCTCGCACTTTTATGTGGGTAATATCAGTCATGGTAGTACCCCAAAGAAACAGCACCCCAAAATGCACACATGATATACAAATAAAAGGACGTAATAATTTTGACGTGATAATCTGAAGTAGTTCAACATCCAATTCGCCAACGTTACAGTATCTCTTTCTGTGCGTGTGTATGTGTGTGTAAAGCAGAACTGTGCGTATCTAATTTCACTTTTTGACCGATCTCAACCTAATTTAGTATGCACACGTAGCCACCTCCCTTCAGGAAGTATCGTAGAGGAGCCGGTGTTAGGATCTGATCCCACTACGTTACTCCTCGAGGACCGTTTTATCCCTTTGTCTTTCCCGTGCCTTGAACGAGTACATCAGCTAGTATTCAATAACTCCGAAAAGGAATTCACTCTTGTTTATTTTATAAGCATTGAATTTTATGCATGATAAAACAATTCACAAGCTCGGTGAACGTTTTTTACGTAGAACCCATTATATTTCTAAAATGAAATGGTAACACTTAAAAAAAACCAAAAAAAAACGATTGTCATAGTTTACACGAATTGGTTACTCTTCAAATATGTGGAATAACAATCTTTATGTTTAGATTACACATAATAACACTGGTGGCCATAATTTGTAAAATTAATTTCCTATAAACTGTGTAGATTCGTAAGTAGTTTTAGACCTGAATAAAGCGCAGCATTGTTGGCTGTTGCAGTTGATTGTTTTACAAAAGCACATCCCCCGGTGGCTCAGCGTAAGTTTACGGTCTTACACCGGTAAAAGGGGCTCGATTTCCCGCTGTGGAAAGGATAGCTCTGCGCTAGAACTACCAAAAAAACACCCAACCGTGAAAGTGTTCATTTTTTGGACTGAAGTTGGTTGTTACAAATGTGTTTTCATAATATCATAATTTTGGAATATTCGGTTAGTCAGAACTCATAGGGATACATACCACTGATTCACTGTAGGATTTTGTTATGGATGTTGCTAAAAGAACAAGAACTAACCAAAGGTCTGTATTGATAAGCATTTACTTCGGTTGTTCATCCACAAAGAGTCACCAAATAGATGATCAGAAAAAAAAAGGATAAAATGAAACGTCTGTAAATTTTTAAAAATACACCCTTGTTCACTTTCTTGTAAATGAGTAACGATTGTGGTTTTATTAATCTAAAATAAGATTTTAAGGTTTCAGAAAAGATTGCGTTATCAGTAACGTAAAATACACAATATCGTGTATGTTAGCTGAATTAAAGAAAAAACAAGCCACGCTTTTACAACAAAATATTAGCAAAAAGGCTAGAAAATTATTTTCTACGCTTTCACATGTCTTCTTCACTCCCACAGAATTCTATGCCCCCCCCCCAGTGTTCGAATTCCCGTCCCACCAAATATGCTCGCCCTCTCAGCCGTGGGGGTTTTATTATGTTTCAGTCAATCCCACTATTCGTTGGTAAAGGAGTAGCCCCAGAGTTGGCGGTAGGTGGTGATGACTAGCTGCCTTCCCTCTAGTCTTACACTGCTAAATTAGGGACGGCTAGCGCAGATAGCTCTCGTGTAGCTTTGCACGAAATTCATAACAAACAAACAAGTACATAATCCAGCTCTGCCGTCGCTTCGTTCGGTAGAGTTGAGTATAAAAATTGGGGCTTTTCACATATGCTCTATACATATTAAGCTATATCGGTGCGGTGAGCATCTAAATCAAGGAAAACTTTGTCTGTTTGTGGACTCATCTCCTCTTAAACGAGTTGACCGATCCAGACCAATCTTGGCTTGCTAACTTATTAGTTCAAAAGCAAACCCAGTTCATATTAAACTTTCCATATATTTTAGAATAAAAATATTTTATGGAATAACCCGTACATCGTTACTCCAGTAGCTATTGTAAATAGTTGAGTTTGAAGAAAACTTACACCACAACAAAGTTTTCTAAGATTTAAATCTCAGTCCATTATGGGCTTTCTATTCAAAGCTCTTGTAATGCACTTTAAATGTGTTATCTTAAAAGTTTTGCCTGTTACTGTACTCCTCCGACTTTTTTATCTTGAAAACACGCACAAATTTGCTAAAAATGAGCAAAATTTCTGCGAAGATTTTTATTAGCGTTTCTCCGCTCGACTTATACCTTCTCAATTCCAATCCATTTCCTCTGCCTTACAAAAGTTTTCGTGGAAAATGAACGCTACTCCAAACCTTCGCAGAAATTTTGCTCATTTTTAGCCAGTTTGTGCGTGTTCTCCGCGTTTTCAAGATGAAAAAGACCGAGGAGTACAGTAACCTGCAAAACATTTAATGTAAAACATTTAAAGTGCATTACAGGAACTTCTGAAAGAAAGCTCATTATGGACTGAGAGTTATCTTTTACTTGTAGACTTTCACCGGATCTGTCGGGCTTTCACCAAGGGCAGAGCTGAGTATGCAATTTGCCACTCAAACAATTAGTCAAATTTAACATCTACTTAATTGATATTATAAAGTAATATTTTTTA